AAATGTAAAGGCCTGATGAGAATTATCTAAAACAAACGTATGTTCGCCATTTTATCTTCTGAAATTTTCAATGGGAACTTTCGCAAACATTAATTAATTCCTATTTTAAAGTACCTACACAGTGCCCTAAATATTAATTTTTCGGAATGGTGGAAATCTAACGAGGACAATGTTCTGAATGAAAAACTGTAGGAGATAAGTTCAAAAAAGGAACCTAGCATTTCTTCTTAATCTTTATGTTTGTTTTCGTACTCATGGTGTTTGCAAAAGCAGAGTCGTTCAGCGGGCTTCTCTACCGTGCAGGTTTGGTGACCTGAAGGTCATTCCAATTGCCTAGAACGCCCCAACAAGAAATTGAAATTTTCCTTTAAAGCTGATGCGATGTAATGATTTACGGCAAACGTTAGGATGATCGTCAATTCTTTGCATTGTTTGGCAATAGCAAATATGGTTGAATTACAATTGTTCCATATATACTCAGTCATTAGTTCTCAAAACGTTAACTGGATTTAATAAGGGGATTGTTCAGGTACTAATGCAGAAAAAATTGCAAACATAAAATTGCATTGGTTTCATTTCTAGGAAGCATCATTCGTCAGCTTTTTCTACCATATAGTTCCTCAGCTGGTTTCTCTGAAAATGATTGACAAGCAAGTATTTAACTGCACGGACATAAGATTGTCAAAAAGAAATTTACCTCTGATTTCTTTACTGGACAGTTTTCTCCGATGTTATTTAGAGCTTTGTTAAGTCCGACGGAATTTTTGGTAACCATACCAACGGTTGAATTATAATTCGTCGATATATACTCCGAGTTTTTATTCACATTAGCGAGTGCATACACCATGCTATTCACAGCGTCTTCAATGTCGGCCACTTTGAATTGAGTCATAAATGTTTGCATTAGCGTGGAAATTTCTTCGGGTAGTGCCGTCTGAAAAACAAGTATTTTTGAAACAAGATCCTAGATTAAGCTACATAATTAAATATAAAGTAACTATTTTACATAGCTAAGGAGATAACTCAACACTTCATGCAAATACATTATTTTCGCTAAATTTGAAGGTTCTCTGCCTGTTGTAAAAAACCTTACAGACGCTTGATGAACCTGAGTTGCCTACGAAATTTCAGTCAAATCATTGACATTCAGTTGTCTTTACACTGTTACTGACAGTTAGTGGTGCCCACTAGTTTGAGAATAAATGCCTCTTCAGTTTATAACTCTACACAGCGGAGTAAGCTCTTCTATCATACTATGATTGTAAAGGAAAGCAATGTGTATTACGAAGTAAAATACTGTATATGAATCATGACCAGGTAAGTAACCACACCGAAATCTAAGCTAGGCCAATAACATATTCGCACGATGGCGAATATTGCTGTCAGGTTGATGGTAGACATTTAAAGTAGGATTTTGGTGCTCTTCACTTGATATTTTATATAAACGTATTTCCATGAATTTATAGTTAACCTTGTTTTGCGGATAAAAATTCATTATAAATATTATAAAATTGGTAATTGTTTCATGCAAGAGAAAAAAGAATACTCTATATAAGTAAAAGTTGAACGCTTGATGGCTTTAGGTAACACTGCGCATTAACTATAAAGCAAACTAGTATTCACCGTATTTAAATACATTTAACGGTGTACTCAACTAACGACATAATGTGTTGCAACTAAGGGCGAAATGCACACACACAAATTATCCACTTGAATTCGCTGCATAAAATAAAACACATAGTATAACTGAAAACAGGCTTTTATGCAAAATGCAGTCATACTCTGTAATACAAATGCACATAATGCTATCAACTTCATCTGCTTAGGAATTGTAAGCCGATTGCGGTTTTAGACAC